TAAAACTAGTTACTACTGGCAAAGACTAATTAGAGAATCGATTGAAATTGAGAGAAACAGCAATAACTTTAATCGCTCAGACAGCTACAGGCTTAGTGCGGCCTGGAAGCGTATTATTAAATAAGATACATTACAATTACTTATAAGGGTAACAACCACTAACTGATTACTAATGTAGCATAATCACAATAAAACACATTCCAAATGATTACTAATCTACAACTCGCATCGTAACAATAGCCTGATTACTAATCTAGTATATAATTACAATCACTCCCCCCTTGAATCTTTGCACCTGATGAGTTAATGAGTTAATGATGACGTCACCCTGCTGCTGCTCTATATAAGAACGGGAGACACAGCAGAGCCTTACCATTCTGGCGAATTGCCCGATGATGCTGGTTGCAATTACCAGCGAAACGTCGTACTCAAATTGTAAATGTTGTGGCTTCAACACACCGGTGGGCTAAAGCAGTGAACTATTTGTCTTTGTCAACGTGACACATTTTTACTGATTGGCCGTGTCGGGTGGTGGAGGGTTACGACACATTTATAAATAAACGCGATCTAAACCCAAAAACGTTGATTATGATGTTGATGATACTGTGCAAGACTGAAAATTGTTATTATTGTTAAAGTCAGATTAATATCACATTAGATCCTAGATCAGATTAAGATCAAATTATTTTACGTTGCATTTAAGTTGCATTGCAAGTCAATAAGATTTACCTTTAACTCGTTGTGCCACCTATGCCTTGATGTCACGGTTGACCAGCACATGGGGCTCAATCCACAGCAGACAAAAGGCTGGATCCAAGGCAGCTGCTTTCAGGTAGACTGTGTCTGAAAAGGGGGCAGTGATCCCTTCTTGAGACTGGGCCATTTTCACATTAATGAAGATCCCAAGAAATCTTTTTTCCAGGGATGCCTGCAGACCTCTGACCAGGCCGCTCAGGAAACGAACTTGAGGCTTCAGCTTCTCAAGATGGTGATTGAGGGACAAGACGGATGGAACAACTGCACTGATTGTAATGACTTTCTCCCCCTGTGTCAAATCAGTTGCTTCTCCGAACGGTGTCAAGATGTCCACCAACTCCTTCAGCAGATTCCACTCTCGTAGTGTGAATGACAGTTCTTTATGCCCGGCCTTCTCAAGAACTGCGCAGAGCTTTTGCTGATCACAATGAAGGACTGCTTTCACCTGCCGCAGTGTAGAATTCCACCTCGTGCTCACTGCAGCAGGGATGCCTCTGTGCTCCCCAAATTCACCATCGAATATGTCTTTAAACGTTGTGCTTGTGTGGAGCAGGGAGCTAAGTTTTGATAACTTGGAGAGAGAAGGACATGCCGCTTTTGTTTCTTTCAAACCGTCTCCCACCACCAGCTGCAATGTGTGTGCAAAACACTGCAGGCGCTGTTTCTTTGCCATAGCAGCATCGACGGTTTGCTGGTCTTCTAGGGTTAAGTCATGCCATAGCTCAGGATCATCAAGATTATCTCCAGCATCATCATCTTCCTCCTGTTCGCTGGGGAAGCAGATCGTAAATGCCTTGCACATGTTAGCAGCATTGTCACTAATGATATAGTCCAATTTAGCTTTGATGTTGTATTCATCACATATTGCCTCAAATTGGTCACAGATGCGCTCCGCTGTGTGAGAGCCTTTGAAGCGGTTGCAGGCCAAGAGATTTGTCTTTAGCTGTACCCTCTCTGCATCTCTCTCCATCCAGTGCACAGTGACATCAAGGAATCCCCTCATCTTTCGATCAGACCAAATGTCCACAGTGACTGAAACATGGTCAGTGTTGCTCAATTGAGTTTTTAAATTTGAACGTCTCTCCTCAGCAAGGCTCTCTGTTTTTGTGGTCAGCGTTCGGCGACAGACTGGGGTATACTTGCTGTCCAGCACAGCCAGAAAGTGACGAAAGCTCTTATTTTCCACAATAGATAGAGGAAAATTGCAATCAATAATCAAGTCAGACAGTATCGCATTGGAGATGGCCTTCTGCTGTGGGTGGCTCATGCTGTAACGCCCTACACGAGTGTCCAGGAATTGTGAAATTGAAGGCTGTTGTGGTTCATCTACGATGCTTTTGTTCATCTGGTATTCTTCATACCTGTAACAGAAAAGAATATGAAACAGATGTCAGAAAATCCCTTATAGCCACACATGTTGTATTTGAAACTACTCTTTACTCATATCAATGTTGTTGTGTTAATATTCATTGTCTATTGTACACTACGGTATATGATAATACATTTCAGTTTCAGTGTATGCAATATTAAGAATATTTTCACTGCTTCAAAAGTCATAAGAAAGCCCTTTCCCTCAAGAAACTGAAGTCATATGCTTTATAGCAGTGGTTTTCAAAGTGGGGACGGGGACCCCTGGGTGCCGCGAGGGGGTGCTAGGGGGGCCATGGCAAGTTGGCATGAAAAGTATAGCAAAACAAAATAATTGAATAAATTAAATAAGTAAAATAAACCAAATTAAACCAAAAATAAGCTAAACAATATCCCCGTTAGTTAAGAACTCCACTATAATAATATATTGCATCTCTGAACATTACTACTATAATCGTTATTATTTTATTATATACTGTATATATCCCAGTGGTGCGCTGCCTCACAGACCTAGACTACGGTAGCACGCTATGTCCATGCGCTGCCTGCTGTTTGGGCATGATATGAAAAGGGAAGGCTAATGGTGGATCTTCTGTGACTGTGTCATTTTCCTCTTTACAGTGTATATGTCTTACTATGTTTCCTGTTGTACTTGGATGGGTTTAGGGATGCACCAACTCCATCGAGTTGTGAAAGGAGGTGCACAGAAAAAAGAGTGTGGCACGGCCCATGTCAGGGGGGCCTTGGCTGGAATCTACTGGTATATGGGGGGCCTTGTCATGGTAAAGTTTGGGAACCCCTGCTTTATAGTTCACTCTCTCCTGCACACCAGATTCCATGGTGCCTTGCTGCATCACACAGCAATTGCAGGTCTACTGCTGCCTCATTCATTGTTTAATTGTGATAGTTTATGTCTTCAGCGACAGTTCAGCTTAGTTGTGATTAACCAAAATTACATAAACGACCTCAATGAGGCAGCACACCAGCCACTCTGAAACTGAACGATTGAAAGAGTAAAACTGGAAGGCCTGTTTTTGTCTCATGTGTGTTGGAGAGACTGAGATATACATTTGTGTTTATCCGTCTAGCAGCAAGGTAGAAATGATACTTTAAAACGGACGTTGACATGATGTTGAAGAGGTTTTCCATCTGAGTGTGCTACACTCATGTACCTCATATAATCGGGGTTCAAAAATCCCTATTTTTGTAAGCATTAACCAGCAAGGGAGACGTGCGTTTACTGTCTCGTTGATACAGTAAATATGCAGCAGCTAGTAAGTTACGGTACATCCGATAAGGTGCTTAGCATTCGTTCAAAACTTACCTTTCTTTGTGCAACTTTAGGTGTCGAACAAAGTTAGACGTTGTGGCAGCACCGTCTGTAATCTTCGACCCGCATGTTTTGCAAATTGCAACTCGTTTTTTGTCGACTACATCGTAATTTTTATAGCCAAACGAAACTATCTTCGGTATCATTTTGCCAACTGGCGCATTGTTGCTTGTTGCGCTTCATTGGTTGTCTTGCAATGTGCCTGCTTAGATGCTGTCCAATCAAAACAACGTGGGACTACAGTGATTGGATGTCGTGCAGGCAGCGCGCGTGCTCTCTGCATGCATACAGGTGGTGCACATTTTTTTCACAAATGCAGATAAACTGAGAGCGGCGCGGCCGTGTGAACATTTTTTCCCCCAGTTTTCATGGGAAGTAGCAAGTCTTCTCGAGTCAAAAGGCGCAAGTCCAAGTGAAGTCACGAGTCATTGATGTTAAAGTCCAAGTCGAATTGCAAGTCTTTGTACATTTTGTCGAGTCGAGTCTGAAGTCATCAAATTCATGACTCGAGTCTGACTCGAGTCCAAGTCACATGACTCGAGTCCACACCTCTGGACTCACTCACTCCACATCGAACAGCCCCCCTAATTAATAATCATAAGGTGACGTCCTCCAAATGGACACCTCCCCCCATTCATAATAATTAGCGGCTGACGTCACTCCACATGGGGGGCCGAGGTGCCTCCTCCCCCCTCCTCAGCGTTAACTTACAAACCTCACTACAAAGGCAAAACCCTCAAGTCAAGCAATCTCCGTAATGCTATTGAGACATCAAAGTAAAAAGGACGTCATGATGAACAAGGGATTATAACCTTAAAATGAAATAGGTCTGTGTCACTGCGCCCTTACAAATTGCACACGCATTAATGCAATGAATATCACGTCGCGGTCTGCTTTTTGCTTGCAAGTTTCAGATTAACTGCAATACACCCGTCCTTGGACGGGCTAAAGGCTAGTTGTAAATAATTGAGCAGTTTTACATACAGTGAGGGAAAAAAGTATTTGATCCCCTGCTGATTTTGTACGTTTGCCCACTGACAAAGAAATGATCAGTCTATAATTTTATGGTAGGTTTATTTGAACAGTGAGAGACAGAATAACAACAACAAAATCCAGAAAAAACGCATGTCAACAATTTTATAAATTGATTTGCATTTCAACGAGGGAAATAAGTATTTGACCCCTCTGAAAAACATGACTTAGTACTTGGTGGCAAAACCCTTGTTGGCAATCACAGAGGTCAGACGTTTCTTGTAGTTGACCACCAGGTTTGCACACATCTCAGGAGGGATTTTGTCCCACTCCTCTTTGCAGATCTTCTCCAAGTCATTAAGGTTTCGAGGCTGACGTTTGGCAACTCGAACCTTCAGCTCCCTCCACAGATTTTCTATGGGATTAAGGTCTGGAGACTGACTAGGCCACTCCAGGACCTGAATGTGCTTCTTCTTGAGCCACTCCTTTGTTACCTTGGCCGTGTGTTTTGGGTCATTGTCATGCTGGAATACCCATCCACGACCCATTTTCAATGCCCTGGCTGAGGGAAGGAGGTTTTCACCCAAGATTTGACGGTACATGGCCCCGTCCATCGTCCCTTTGATGCGGTGAAGTTGTCCTGTCCCCTTAGCAGAAAAACACCCCCAAAGCATAATGTTTCCACCTCCATGTTTGACGGTGGGGATGGTGTTCTTGGGGTCATAGGCAGCATTCCTCCTCCTCCAAACACAGGAGTTGAGTTGATGCCAAAGAGCTCCATTTTGGTCTCATCTGACCACAACACTTTCACCCAGTTGTCCTCTGAATCATTGACAAACTTCAGACGGGCATGTATATGTGCTTTCTTGAGCAGAGGGATCTTGCGGGCGCTGCAGGATTTCAGTCCTTTACGGCGTACTGTGTTACCAACTGTTTTCTTGGTGTCTATGGTCCCAGTTGCCTTGAGATAATTGACAAGATTCTCCCGTGTATTTCTGGGCGGATTCCTCACCGTTCTCATGATCATTGCAACTCCACGAGGTGAGATTTGCATGGAGCCCCAGGCCGAGGGAGATTGACAGTTCTTTTGTGTTTCTTACATTTGCGAATAATCGCACCAACTGTTGTCACCTTCTCACCAAGCTGCTTGGCGATGGACTTGTAGCCCATTCCAGCCTTGTGTAGGTCTACAATCTTGTCCCTGACATTCTTGGAGAGCTCTTTGGTCTTGGCCATGGTGGAGAGTTTGGAATCTGATTGATTGATTGCTTCTGTGAACAGGTGTCTTTTATACAGGTAACAAGCTCAGATTAGGAGCACTCCCTTTAAGAGTGTGCTCCTAATCTCAGCTTGTTACCTATATAAAAGACACCTGGGATCCAGAAATCTTTCTGATTGAGAGGGGGTCAAATACTTATTTCCCTCATTGAAATGCAAATCAATTTATAAAATTTTTGACATGCGTTTTTTCTGGATTTTGTTGTTGTTATTCTGTCTCTCACTGTTCAAATAAACCTACCATTAAAATTATAGACTGATAATTTCTTTGTCAGTGGGCAAACATACAAAATCAGCAGGGGATCAAATACTTTGTTCCCTCACTGTATATAAATTGCATTGGCATATGTGGTCATTGACACGGTAAAACTAGTCAAGATGGTGTGGTGGTGTTGCAGTGTCAAGAAAAGTGCTTCATGGTGTCTTAAACTCTCTTCTCATTTGACAGCAATTGGAGAGTACAGCCATGTCTTTAGCTGCATGCAGTGAGGCATGGGGCGTCTGCGAGAATGCCGGCAATTCACGGAGCAAGACCAGAGGTCGAGCCATGCTGCCCACGTCTAGAGAGGTATTTGTGTGCTTGAATAATAATAGTGAAAATTATTGTACAGGCAGACCTTGCTTAGCACTCAAAATGTGTATGCTGGAGAAGTGGCCACTAATCAAATCGGCGCATAAAGGAGTTCATTAGACAATTGTATATATGGGGATGCATTCCCAACAGCTTTAATTCTTACATGTGTAATGCGAGCGTAGGCTGGGGCTTCGCTGCCCCAGCCCCTAACCCATCCAGGCGACACGAGCCATCGGGGGAAGGGTTCAAGGGTGGAGCCCGCGGGCGCTAGGGGGTGGTATTATCTGGAAAGTTCTCAAGGGGTGTGGTGAAGGGCAGAGTCTGGGTGACGCGGGAAGGGGATATAATGGAGAGCCGGAAGGGGCTCGAGGTCAGTTGGTGAGAGCTGGAAGCTGGACCACGTCGCGGGTCTCCGTGAGCCATCGGCCACGTGGCGACGCGGAGACGGCTCCCAGCGCGCCGTCTGCCAGCGGTGCGCGGGAGCGGGGAAGTGGGACGCCAGCTCACGCGACGCGCCGCGGAACGTCCGAGAGAGCGGAACGCGAGCTGTCCATATAACGAAGAAATAAACAGACGGAGACACAGTCGCTTCTTTTTTGGTTCTTTCGGTAAAGTCACGTAGAAGGGAAATAATAAAATAATAAAAATAAAACATAATAAAATACAATTTTCACGTTTCGGCCACAACGCAAGCAGCCGTCCTCAGGTGAAGAACAGGTCTGTCGGGGAGACAGCGTCTGAATGAACACAGTCGCTTGTCGTCGACCTGTATTATTGCACATGTATGAGCAATATATGAGGGCTTCATTGAGGTATTGGTAACAGCACTAATAATACAGATGCTAAAACTTCTTTTGAATAAGTAATATTTTAAAATACTTTTTTTTAAACACGCTTTAATGAAATGTACCGTATGAGTAATGGCAGAACTCCACAACTCCAGGAAGTGGCCCCGAGGCTTGCCATAATGTAAGGGACCGTGGTCAATTACAGCCTACGTAAGTTGAGCGTTGACAATTAGACCCAAGCCGAAACATAACATATAAAAAAGATTGTTTCAAAATATATATTTTATTTTTTTTGATAGAATATAGTATTGTCATTGATACGGCTATTTTAATACACACAATGGACTGGAAGGACAAGATTAAAGGGCTCGTATAATGCACATGCATAATGTACGTTGACTCATTAATCGCCCCCCCTCCACTTTACGCAAGAGCGTGAAGTGTGGTCACCACATCTACGCCTCTATATAAGGAACAAAACAGGTGGACTTCTCCACAAATCTGTCTGTCGCCTGATGAAGCTAGTTGTAATACTGGCAAAACATCGTACTCAGATTGTAAATGTTGTGGCTTGGCTCTCCAACACACCAGTGTGCTGTACTAGTGACAAATTGGCATGTTCTGTTTACATTACAACCCTTACTAGTTGGCTGTGTCGGGTGGTGGTGGATTTTAACGACACATATATTTACACGATCTAACAAAACAAACCTCTTATGGATGATATTCGTCGTGAAAGCCTACATGTTAAACGGGATATTCGATGTCCCCTGTGAAGCCGATGGCGTTTATTTTACGGCTCGTACATCTTAGTATTAACCAGGACGGCCTGTCGGAATAGAACCGCAAACCTCTGCAACAAGTGGCAAATGCACTACCGCTGAGCCACGTCAATTATTTTATTCATAAACTTAGGTTTCCACGGCCAGCGTTATGATGCATAGTTGATTTGTGGGCTTAATTGAGGAGTGTGTATGTTCTCCACCTGCTGTACATGGACGACTCGTAGACTGAACTCTTAGTAAGGGCTTGCGCCAGTTTATTAACACAGAGGTAACACAACACACCAGAGGTAGGTGTCCCTACACTCAGTCCTTGACGCGGACGTCAGGCTCTATCTATTCCTAGCCTGGGCTATCTCTTGGCCTCTCACTCGAGTTGGGATGGGGGCTTATCCAACACCACCCGACCGAGGAGAGCAGCACCCCACGTAATCTTAACCGGCTCTTGCAGACTTCTCTGAGCCCTACCCCTGGCTGTATCTTCGGCTCTCCTACTCGTAGAACCCGGACGGGGGGTCAGCCAACACCGTCCGGTCACGAGCAGGAGAGACCTTAAGACGCTCACCATCCCGGGCTCCCACAACAACCCCGCTTTCGCCACGGGGTCCCCCTTAAGTATTTCCCGTGACATGACGTCATTGCGCCTCACAGCGCTCATGATGTCATGTCGTCATACTACTCTACACATGTGTAGTGAGTGACATTGGGGATGTAACTGTATGGTGCCAGACAGCATCGTGTGTGTTGCAGAGTGATGCCGGCTCTAGCAGAGCACGGCGTGCGATGCACTGTGTTGCCTCTGAAGAAGAACTTCTGCAACTCAGTTGGACTCACTACACATGGATTTCCTCCCATAAAATAAAAAACCCCTTCCAATTGAACATGTATTGCTCATCTATCCCAATGCTGGAAATTACTTGCAAAATTACTGAATTCGGATGACACATGCAATCATCATCCCCTCCTGCTGCCAAAAAAATGGCATGACCCTCGTTAAAAATATTTTTGAGACTTAGGATTTTCTGGGTCAGGAAGTGTAACAATAATAAAAATGTCCTTGTCCCTAACTCTTGTTTCTGTCCTCCTGACAGGTGGAGGTGAATGTGAGTGTGCGCCACATGTACCTGTACAGCCGCGAGGTGCGTGGGGTGGTGGCACGTCTCCGCGCCGAGTGTGGGTCACTGTCCGTGCACGCAGTTGCCTTGGCCCACACTCAAGGTGATCTGAACAAGGCCTTGGGACACGTTCGTAATGAGAAACAGGCAAATGTGCAAGCATCTAGCATGCGATCGCGACGACCTACACGTGAGGTGGTAAGTCTTGAATAATAATAATTTAGTTGACAGTAATACCCCGGTTTATGTCAGGGATGCTTTTCTTAAATGTGCGACAACGAATACCGAAACGACGTAAATCAACGCAATTTTGCCACGAGGACTAAACAATGCTGAAGCCGTGTTAATGCGTGCATCTTCATCCTAGACGTATCCGCAACATTACATTCAATTACTAAAAATACTACACTCAATACTAGTTTCGGCAGTAAACGTTAAAACATTATTAGCAGTACATTATGAAAATAAAATCACTAAAATATCATGCGTAATTACTATATTGTACTCCATAGTACAGAACATTTCTTTATGCGCGATGCAAAGTAGTTTGTGTACAGGGTTAGGTGGAGGTGAAGGTTGAGAGGCGACAGTTACGAGAAAGGGCAGACGATGCTGTCAGGACATGAGTGTGGGTTGAGGCAATGCTAGTCGGGTAGCGGTGGTGTTGATAATGAAGTGACAACGTATTTTCTAAACGATATAAAAGGGGGAGGTGTAAAATCGCAAGGCTTACAGCGCAAGG